CGCCGGGGAGATGGCAGCAACTGAGGACACGGGCTCTGCCTTTCGGCGGGGCCAACTCCACAGTCGTGTGGGAGCGTAGATCAGACAGCGAGCCCGGGTTCCCGAGCGCTTGGGGCTGCCGCGTTGGCGGCGGCGGGCGTGGGCGTCGATCGAGGGGCGTGTGTGCCNAGCGTATTCCGCCATGCGACTGGGGGCGGCAAGGGTGGCGGCGGCGGTGGGGGCCGCGCTTCGGGTGGAGGGGGAGCCTCGGGCGCCGCGGCCGATGGCGGAAGCGGCTCCTCGGCGTTGGTCGTTCGCCGGGGAGATGGCAGCAACTGAGGACACGGGCTCTGCCTTTCGGCGGGGCCAACTCCACAGTCGTGTGGGAGCGTAGATCAGACAGCGGGGCCGGGTTCCAGAGCGCTTGGGGCCGCCGCGTTGGCGGCGGCGGGCGTGGGCGTCGATCGAGGGGCGTGTGTGCCCGGGGCTGTCTCTTCGTTGCTACCAGGTGATGTCTCGTTTAGGTCGATTGCGGGTTCGCGTGAACTTTGCGTATGGCGATCGCGTGTGTCTACTTTGGCAGCGGTGTGTTCACCCTCCGACATGGGTGTGGGTCTTAGAGAGGTGGCTTCCGCTGTCTCGTTTGGGTCGATTGCGGTTTCGCGTGAACTTTGCGTACGGCGATCTCGTGTGTCTGCTTTGGCAGCGGTGTGTTCACCCTCCGATATGGGTGTGGGTCTTAGTGAGGTGGCTTCCGCTGGTTCCGCCTTGCTTAGACAGTGTGGGGGGCGTATTGAAGTGCTCGTGGCGGCCGGTGGTGCCGGCTTCTTTGCGCCCCATGTCAATGTTGCGTCGGTTCGTGAATTTTTTGGGGTCTCGAAACGTTTTCCGCAAATTGACAACCTCCTCCGCGTGTTGTGTCCTGGCGCGCCGGTCGATGTCGCGCCGGGGGGGTGTCTAGACGCCGAATTAAAATACGGCAACCATTCCAGCATTTTACCATACACTCCGCAGATCATTGACAAGATCGTTTCGGATGTTACGTTAGGTCGTGCTCTCGTCTTCGACGTACAGTTCATCCGTGAAATTTTGGGTGTGCGTGTTTCCCCCCTTGGGGTGGTGGACGATCCGAAATTCCGCATCATTCATGATCTCACATTCACAGCGGCTGGTGCGCAGTCTAGCGTCAATGCAGATACAGATTTTGATCGTGCCCCCGAGTGTCTGTTGGGACATGTACTTTTCGATGTCTTGTCGCGCGTCCTCTTTTTGCGCCAATTGCACGGGCCGACTCTCGAGATTTTGCTCTGCCGTATTGACGTGCGTGAGGCTTTTCGCCAAGTGTTGGTCGACCCTTCGAGGGCGTCGGTATTCGGATACACGATGGGGGACGTGGTCGTCATCGACCTTCGTTGCCAGTTTGGTTGGCGTTCCAGCCCAGGTTTTTGGTCGCTGTTTGGTTCCGCTCTTGAGCATGCACACACCCACACTACTTTTCAGACAGCTTCTGTGTTACCTGCCGGAGTTGCGGCGGTTGATCATGTTCAGCTTGTTCCTCTCCAAAACCTCCCCGTATCGTTACCGAGTGATTGTGCCCAAATTTCTATGGAGGGCGGTTTCGCTGGTTCCGCGTTTTTCGTTCGGTATTATGTGGATGACGGTGTGCTTGTCGAGGCGCTGTTTTTCACGGATGGTCGTCGTTGCCTACGTGCAGTGCAGTCGATCGCGTCGGACCATTTCCGTCTGCTGGGACACCGGGGGCCAAACGATCCTCCGTTGTTGTCTGCAAAGAAAATCACCGATTTTTCGACGCGTTTGGAGGTGTTGGGATGGATTTTAGACACGCAAACTCTCACAGTGACCATGCCTCTGCGAAAACAACAGAAATTAAACCGTTTGTTGGGCGAGTGGCCGCGGTCGCGTCGGTGTGCGACTGCCCGTCACGTCGCGGAATTGACCGGTTTTCTTCTTCACGTGTCTTTTGCCTTGCGTCCGGGCAAATTTTTCGTCGGCTGTCTGCTGGCCGACGTCGGCATGCCGCAGTCCGAAGTGTTTCCTTCGCGTGTTTCTAACCCCAATCGGCGTGTCGTGTTGGGGCCCATGTTTCACGATGATTTGGATTTTTGGCGCTGGTTTGCGCAGCGAGGTCTGGCGTCGCGTGGCGGCCAGTTGTGTGCACCGATGTACAATGTGGTGCTTCGTCCTCCGGTAATGGCTGTGTTTGCCGATGCTTCCAAAACGGCGTTTGGAGCATACTGTGTGCAAACTGGGTGTTATTTCCGGCGTGATCTGACGTGTGACGAGCAGTCCCGCTTTGTGGGGTCTAGCAAGTCTGTATCCGAGTGTGCCGATGTCAGTATCAATGTTCTTGAGCTACTCGGCATGGTCGCGGCGGCATGGGTGTTGATTGTGCAACAGCGTCATGTGCCGGTGTCGGCTGGTGACTGTATCCAGTTGCGGGGAGACAATGAAGCGAGTGTGGCATGGATTGAGCGGTGTCGCGGAGGCAAGGAGCCGCGGTCAGGCGCGCTCATGCGGATGCTGGGGGCGATTGAAGTGTCTAGCGGGTGGCTTTTCCAATCGTCCCATGTGCCTGGTGTGCTCAATTCGCTTGCTGATGGTATTTCTCGCTGGCCCGCCGCTGATGTGTACGACAACCTTTGTGCCGCTGCCCCCCATGTACGATGGCAGGAAGTGGAGTTGAATCGAGCCGGGCAAGAGATGTGCTCTGCCGTACTGGGGCCAGTCTCGTCCGCCAGTCACTTGCGCGAACGTCTGAACGAACTTACCTGGGCCTTTTTGGAGCCTGGGTGAAATATCGTGTGATCGTGGTGAACCGGCCGGTTTTTATTGCTGCCGAGGTTGTTACGCGTGATGTCGTTGCTCAATTGCTTGAGTACGTGCGTATTGTTTTTCCGTTTTGGGTCTATAACAATCGACCATCGCTAGTCATTTGTCCGCTATTAAGTTCTTCCATCATCGTGTGTCGGGTGAAGGGGAGCTTGATACGCAGCATCCGCTGGTGCGTTGTGCTTTACGTGGGGCGGCGCGGGGGCATGCCGACGTGGGCACACAGCAGCGGTTGCGACGGCCGGTGTCTTGGGCGATGTTGCAACGGGGGAGTTCGCTGGTATCGCAATGGGGGGTAGGCGGGCGCGTTTTGTTTCTTGCGCTGAGTGCTTCTCTCTTCTTCCTGACGCGAGCATCCGAGATGTTTGCGGTGTCGAAATTGTCTATGCATGAGGTTCATGGATTGCGTCGGGGGGACGTAGCGTTTTTTCGGGGGTCGGTCCAGCTGTTGCAGTCGGCGCAGTGGCCATTGGCCGATCGCGTGGAGGTACGTTTTCGTTCGTCGAAAGGGGACCAGTTTCGGAAGGGGGCGGTTTGCACGCGCACACGGCAAGGTCCGTGCTGTGGGGTTGACCGAGGGGGTGGTGCAGTGGATGTCATGGTGGAGCTGCTTTCTCTGTATACCTTTTTGCCTTCGCATGCGCCTCTCGTGGCTTTCGGTGTTGGTCAGGGCCAGTGGGCCATGTGGACTAGGTGTCAAGCTACTGTGGCTCTTCGCCAAGTGGTTGCGTTGGCGGGTATGCAGCCCGAGGAGTACGCGCTGTACTCCCTGAGAATTGGGGGCGCAACTTTCTTGGCGGCGGGGGGGGCTGCGCCGGAGGTTCTCCGAAGAGAAGGGCGTTGGTCGGGGGAGAGTAGTCACCAGTGTTACGTTCGGAATGTTGGGGGTGACGCTTCGTGGGTGTCAGAGGTGTTGGCGAACAAGGAGAAGGTGACTACACAGCCAGGGCAAGGTACCCGATGGGGTGACGTGTGAAGGGGTTCCGTGGCNCCCCCCCAGCCCCCCCCACTGCGGCTCGGCTGCTGTGGCGGCGGTCCCCGAGGTTGCTGTTGCTGCTGAGGCCGCTGCTGGTCTGGGGGCTGTTGCTGTTGTTGGGGCTGTTGCTGAGGCTGCTGCTGCTTGGGCTGCTGCTTCTTTCGTTGGCGACGCTGGGTGTAGCACTCGCTGTTGGTGTGCGACGAGTACGGATGATAGTCGCAGCTCTTGTCTCCGTCCGCCCTGTTGTTGCTGCTCCGACCGCCTCCACTGCCGTCCTGACCCCCGCCGTTCCCACTGGACCCATTTTGGACACGTCCATCGCCCCGGTTCCCACCGGCAGCGACGAAAGCGTGCCCCGCGCCATTCTGCGGCTCCCCCTCCCGTGCGGTCACCATATCCTGATGGGCATCTTTCACGACCTTTTCAAGGTGCTGACGGGTTAAATTGGGGGGCGGAAGGGCACGCAGCNGAATTGGGGGGCGCAAGGGCACGCAGCATGGCTTTCTCCATCTTGTACTCTGAAGACAAGTTGTACACAACGTGCAGATTGGCATCATCGTCGGGGTACGTGACGCCGTGTGAGGCTAACCTACTGCGCAAAACAGCAAATCTCCCGAAGTATTCTTGCGGGGTTTCACCCACTCGCATTTTGATTGCATGGTATTCTGCAGTCAACCGTGTTTTTTCTGCCCTTGCCTGGGGTTCGTAGTATGCTAGAAATAGTTTCCAACCTCCACTGGGACTACCATCAGCAATAATCTGGGTCAAGACAGGCATGTAGGTGATTGTCGTGATAATCAAATTCCACGCCGTGATCGCCTTGTCTACCGTCTCAGGCGAGTGCATCCTACGTAAGTCCTCCATGTCTACTCCTTCTAGCCCAACTGTAATTCTGCGGTCACTCAATACCACTTCCCGGACTCCTTCTTGCGCAAACATAGCAATCATGTTTGACCGAAA